CAAAAAACAGGTCTGAAAAGGGAGGAGGAGAGGGTACAGGAAGGCATTCTTGTTCTTTTGGCACATGTAGACACCTTTATCTGCCTTCTTTCTTCTGTCCACTCACATTTTTATAAGTATTCGGTCACATGTCTTAGAGTGATTTTGTGGATTACCAACTTCAGAAGCGAATTTATTTTTTGCACCCTGTAAAGAAAATTTAAAGTGAAAATTACCAGCAAACTCTAAGAGTTTAAGAGTGAGGCAGCTAATTTGAATAAGGACTGCTTATGATTTATGACTCATGCCTGAAGACACAGGTTTGTGGTTGGGCTTTTTTTAAGAACTGGGTATTTCACACTTTAGACTAACTGAAAAACAAAATAGCACCTACCATTCTCGGCCCTTTTGCAAAATGCAGACTCCTTTGCTTCCACGTGCTCAACACGAGTATTTCATTCTATCTTCTCTTTCTTTTATCTCCCTTTTTCTCTGCTGTAGACCATAGAACGTTCTCTGAGCAACATCACCATATCTGTACTATCCCAGTGCTTGAACCAGCGAAGTCGAGTTCCTTGGAAGTCCTAGGAAGCAATAAGGAATCAACAGAGTTCTGCAGAAATGAAGAATTTTATCTCCAAGCCCCCCCGTGGACAAAGGGAAATCAGAAGCACCTATTTACATTACATTACATTACATTACAATACATTACATTACATTACATTACATTACATTACATTACATTACATTACATTACATTACATTACATTACATTATTTAATCAACAATTCGAACGAGCGGGCGGTGGCAGCTCCTCGGTGCTGCCGCTGGGTGGCGCCCTCAGCCCGGCCCGGCCGCTTCCATCGGGCTCCGGATCCTTTCCCATCTCCGGATCCTTTCCCAGCCCCACATCCTTTCCCGGGCTCCAGATCCTTTCCCAGCTCCCGATCCTTCCCGGCCTCCGGATCCTTTCCCATCTCCGGATCCTTTCCGGGCTCCAGATCCTTTTCCGGAGCTCCGGATGCTTCCCCAGGAAGATTTTCCGTGTCCGATGCCCAGGCACAGCTCAGACCCTTGTAAGGAAGGCCTCACGGGGCAGCTCATTGGTGTTTAACTCTCACTTTGGGTAGTTTAAATGTCTCTTGATCCAAGCGTCCTCGGACTATCCTATATTGCTCTCAACTGACATTTACTGCTGGACCTGTTGTTTTGAGATGGCCAAAAGCAGGTCTGTAACTATAACTGCTGTGGCAAGAGCACGATTCTGCTTTTATAGAGCAGAATTTCCAAATTCCAAATTTTCTAAAAACAGAGTCAGATTAAGCAAAATGTTCCTCACAAGCACAAAACCATTAGTTCTAAACACTTCTCTTGATTCCTTTTCTGCCCTTCATTAAAGTTTGCAGATACCACTTCATGCTTTTTGTTGCTGTACTACCTGGCCACTGGTGCCATCACCTCTGCCTACACATCCCCCTTCTCCCTTCTCTCAGTGCCACAAGCCACGTCCTTCCACCCACTCTCGATTTCACTGCTGGGTACAAATCTGCGGTGGTTTTTAAAAGGGCTCCTGTGACTTTGCCTTCCTCTGTCTGCTCCTACAGCCATCATTCCTTGATAGCCACCCTGCCTTAACTGCATGCTTGTCCTGTTCTGCACGACAATTTTCATGTTTGTCCAGACCACACTGCACCAAAAACTTCTACCAAAAGCTTGTGACAATCCACTTTTGCCTTGTAGCCATACAGAATGCCACTATACAATACAAGTCAACTTCTGTTAGGCAAGATCACAGCTTCTTTATAGCCAATTAAATTTTTTCCTTATTTGTTCTGTCAGTCAGGCAGTTCCTTTCTTGGAACAAAGTGTAGTGTTTGCCTCCACAGCTTACCCTGTTGGTGCCAGGTGCCCATGCAATATAAAAAGCAGCTTTTTATCCCTGTCACAGTCCTTCAGAAGCTCTGTTCTCTGGGTGGTTCATTTGAGCACGAGATCTCATAGCTGTGCCATGCAGTTAAACCCTCCCATGAGAGCAGCAAGTTAGAACCTCTTTATTCTCATGTTTGGCACTAGTCCAGACACAGAGCAACATATTTTCTTACACCATTTGGAATCTGGCTGTGGTACCAAAAGTTGTTTTGATGGTTGAACCTGACAGAGGTAACTGAGAGCTCCCAGGTGAGCAGAGATGTTTGGTGACAGTTAGACTGGTCAGCAGGCCAACAATGCCTGAATCCTGACAGGACTGCTTACACACAACTGATGTGAGAGCTTCCAGCTTTCCCTGAGAGGATTTCCAAGTATTTACTACAAAATGCCTTTGAATGTCTTGATTTATCCAAATGTCCTCTAATGGTGGATGTTACCATATCCGTGAACAGCTTTGGAGGTTTGCCAGAGCTTTCCCAGAAAGCTGCATCAGAAGGGGCATTAATAGTGAACTAAGATGTCAGAAACATATAGATTGAAAATATTTTATTATTCTGATTAACTCCAAACTATTTCCATACATGTAAAAAAGTTTATTAAGCCACTGAATAGCAAACAATAACAAAATCTGTGAAAAGCTACATATGGAAATAATATTCATTGTTGACTAGATCTAACAATACTGATTTTAGGAAGAAAGAAATTAGCTGCTTTTGCTATCTCTCTCATGCATTACCCAGATAGAGAATATAAAGTAACCAAAAGAAAACACCTACTTGTGTGCATTTGCAAGTATATATTTAATTACTCCAATATAGTTAGAACCAACAAGCATGCATTTAATACAGAACATATAAGAGTGATCTGCATTTTCAGGTGTATGTATTTTAAGCCTGTTGTGATGGAAGCAAATTCATAAATCTTGAAATTCTGCAAATAATTGACATTTAGATTGGTGAAAAACTTAATAATTTTAGTGTCTGACAAGAACAAAAATGAAATTTAACATCATTCTGATAGACAGACAGCTCAATAAATGTATGTCCAGACTCATCTGAAATATTCCACTCCAAGGAGATTCAAAGACAATTATAGTGACTGCAAAAGAGCTGCAGAGTGACAGACATTCAGGTAAGAGGCTATGGGGGTTTAAGGTTTGTCACTACTTGTACCAAGGCTGCACAATAACTCACTTTGGTTTTGAACCCAGTCTGCAGTGCTAAAATGTAAAGACAGACTTGGACTGAGACATGAACATGTGGGCTGCACATCTGGAAGAGCAACTCTGACAGTTTAAACCAAGTGACCAGCCTGGCAGGGGGGCAGGCAACTCAAGAGATGTCATCATGTCCAAAAGTAGCATAATTTTCAGTTACAGATTTATTACAGAATCAACACTTGATCCTGTTCTCATAGAAGTCTATATCACAAAACTCCAGAGATGACTCATCTACTCATGTGTATATTTTTCTTGCCTTTCTTTCCTCCTCTTTCTTTCTTGCCTCCAGACTGATGCACATTTGCCAAGCTGTTATTGCCTTGGAATACACAGCTGGGAGGGAGGGAGCCCAAGCACTCTCCTTCCCAGGGAAATTTGAGAAATTCTGCACCTGTACTTTGTTAAATCTGCTCTATCTCTGGGTAGTGTTTGCAGCTCCATTAGCCATGATTAACACTCAGGTAGCAACTGCCAATTAATTGAAAAGCTGTTAGGAAATATTTCGTATTTGAGCATGAAATTTAGTACCTGAATAATCAAAACTAGATTGACAACAGTTTTTCCTTACCTTTGCAGGCAGAACTCCATGTGTGAGCCATTATTTAATTTGAGTTTCTGTCTATATCTTGTGGAACAAATATGCTGCAACAGCCTCAACCATCCAGACTAACAATCTTTATAGTAGTCCACTACTACTAAAACCTTCAAGAAAAGCAGCTGGACCACCTGATCCACTATACACTTAATTGGAAAGTATCTGCTAGGAAGATTCTCATTCTGTGACTTTCACAAATGCTACATTTTTAGTCACCACATCCTTTTTACCTCCTCACTCTAAATTTCCATCTAAAATGCTTTCTTTCTTGTTGCCTGAGTAATAGCACAAAACTCAGGGTGGATTCGCTGGAACATATTCTAGCGTTGTTATAGCAGCAAATAAAATTTACACACACTAAAGTATAAAACCTACTATTTCATTATTACTGATAAATAAGCTCTATACAACTTCCTACTTCCTGGAATGCAGATCATGCTTTTGGTTGGGCAGGGAAGCTAGTTTAGACTCTTCTCCTTCATCTTTTAAATTAGGAAACAAACTGCAGCTTTACAAAAAAATTTCTTGGGGCACTTATCTAGATAACTTATCTCACAGGTGACATTCTCCTTGGTTGTATCCATATAATTCTGTCCCAAAAGGTATAGCAGAAGAAATTACAGTTCCAGCACATAATCACAGAGCAGCAGAAGATGAACTTCAATTATATTAACTGCTCCCTTCTTCTTCTCTGGGAAAAGAAAAAGAAAAGCAAAAACCTCCTTTGCAAATGAGAACATTTTGCATGAACATCAGACAAAGGAGAAAGCTGCACATGGCTGGCACAGAGCTGCCTCTTCTAGCTGAGATTTAGACAAGCACAGAGTAACTCATGGAGGTCAAGAGAAGTGAGGAATTATAGTAACTGTGCACCAAAGATACTATTTCACCAACCAGGTTATCTGCTTTGGCCTTTACCATTTTTTCAGCTCAAGATTATCTTTATTGATGTAGCTGGTAAGTGAATTTCTTGCATTTTGGGATTCCGGATGTTTCTGTCACAATTATAGCAGAAAAGGGCTGTGACATCTGCTCGGATTCTGGAAGAAAACCGTGGAATTAAATGTCTATTTAACCTATGTTTTGACCTTTCTACCACAGTGAAACATTCATCCCCAGAAGAATCATTAGTTGACCACTAGAGTCTTCACTGTGATACACAAGAGTCCTCTTCATTAAGACAACAGCAAAGCAGATAAAAGCCATTTATGATGAGAAATGACAAATGGAGAAGCATTGACAGAACAAAAATGGAGGCGTTTCCCTATGAGGCCTCTCTCTTTCCAGCCTCACCACCTCCAGACTGAAAGGGAAGAACTGCAGTGAACACAGTATTTTAATCACTGTGGAGAATGTTAAGGTCAGGGTTAACTGAAAAATTGAATAAACATTGATTTAAATTAAAAATAGTCTAGTTAAGCATTGAGAATGTCTTTATTTCCCACAAGTAAATCCTACACAAAGAGATTTACTGTCACTCTCAGTGCAGTAAGGCAAAGTGAGGCTGTATTTACCCTTTTGGGAAGGGCAGGAATGTGAATTCACTATAGCCATGCTTAATTGATAGCACTGTGAAACAAATTCTGCCAGCAACAAAATAAAAGCTTGGTCATTTGTAAGCACTAACCCCAGAATGCTGATTTTTATGACAGTTATTATGTAAATATTTGGAAGTTCTTAAAGTTATAATGCAATTTAGATAGGGAATTGAGATTAAAATATACCTATACTATCACTGATAGGTACCCACCTTAAGCAGAGGGCAGCTCCCAGTCCAACAACAAGAGAACAAATGGAGAAAGTGGCCAGAGTCACTCTTTTCCTGGGCATCTTCTGTTTAATTTTAATCCACTAGAGATAAAGTCTGTAAAAATCTTTACCAGTCAAACATCTACTTCTAATGAAGCAAAGTTTAAAAAATCCATGAACATGGAGCAAAAAAACATGAAGTATGGAAAGGCTTGTCCATCAGTTTGGTAACCTGGGAGAAAAGAGTTGAGAACTCCTTGCTCTGCTATTAACTTCCTTTGCTAAAGCAAAGGCACCTCAAGCCTACAGTCCTGCAGCAAATGGCACCATAAATAATTCAAAGGAGAAAGAAAACAATAAACATTTAAACTTTGAAACACTTGCACAGTTCTACTCAACATCTGATTCTTGTTAACTAACATACAAGATGTTTTCAGGCTTCAGCTGTTGGTTCTTAAAGCTCTGGTTTGCACACAATGCTCTTCACACAATTTAAAACCACAGTAAGGAAATTATTATATGAATCAGTTATTAATTACTTAGCAATATTATAAAAAGCTAGAAATGAAATATCTTTCTATTCATTTCATTAACAATCTCTTTCCATTCACTCTTTATACCAGAAATTTTCTCTGCTCTGAAGGTGATCTCAGGATCTTACATATAAAATGATAAGGTACATGAATAAACTCTGGCCTTTCTTTCTTTCCTGGAGTCATGCTGGCATTTGCACACTTCACACACTTTTGATAAAGTATAAGAACACAAAATCTCAGGCTGCTAATAAAAGAATTTTATTCTCATGATTTTAGAAGCTACTTTTGCTTAAGACAAGTTTATTACCAGTGGAAGAACTATTATCTCTTTATTCCTCTGAGCCAGCAAGAAGCAAAGTCTCTTTTCCATACTTCAAAGTACCTTTTTGGATACTGATCATAATAGAGCATTAATATCAACTTCAGCTGGTACATTTGCTTGAAAAAAAGTGTTATGAGATTTATTATTGTAAATCCTGAAGTTAAATGAAGCTAAGAAGAGGTTTTGTTTCAAAGTCCAGAATGGTTGCATGAGTTTAACTGGCAGTCATGGAAGAACTAAAACCACTCAATTTTCTAAATAATAAAAAAAAAAATAAAAATTCTTTACCTTCCAACAAGGCTTATGTCAATAGAATATCTTCTGACTTAGTTCATTAAAATGCTTCCTTAAGAAATTATTTAAAAGCACAGAATAAGGACAGTGTAAATCAACAAAGTGATTAATCTGTTCAAAAAGCCAAATATAACTGAAGCCACCTGTGTTTTCACTGCCTCCATTCCTCCTCCCCCTTTTCTCCTCCTCCAACAAGTTCTTAGTCCTGACAGAAAACCAAAGCAGTCCTACACAGCCACACACTGAAATCACCAGACTCCACAAGTCCGAGCTGTTCATCCCTTTTGTCCACCCACCTGTTTCCACAGCAGATCTGCCTGGTGCTCCAAAGCCCAGCTTTTCCTTTGGCCTTCAGGCGAAATTAAATTCAGTTCCAGAGTTCCCATGTATAAGAACTGTGCTTGTACAATGTTCCAGTAGAGGCAATTACTGTATTATATGATAACACTACAGCCCATTGATGGCTGGACTTACACTCCCTTAACCTATTTTGCTTCCTTGAGGGGACTAATCCTCACATAACATCTCTAAGTGCATCCACATTAAGGGATTTGGCACTTGAACTGGGCAGTGCAGGTCGTGTTGCTCATGCTCTCACAGAGCCCTAGTGCAGGTGACATTTGTATTCACTGCTCCCTTCATCTCTGGGCAATTTCTAGCCAATACCTCCTTGCAGACAGATTTCCTTCCCTTTTGTGCACTGCACTAATTTTGTACTCGCAAAGGCACCAGAATGTGTCAGGTACAAATATGAGCATATCTCAAAGAACTGCAAGTTTACTGTTCCAAAAAAAAAGTAACTCTCTTGCCAAGCCCTTTATGTACCTCATAATCAATTTGAGGTAAGAGGCATCAACTGGGATACATTTTGCAATATGAGTTTTTGGGATATATTTTATAAAATGTGAACAAAAGTAAAGAATTTAGCAGGTTAAAAGGAAAACCAACTTTTAAAGTGTAATTCTTTATTTTAAACCAAGTATGCCTGTTCTTTTAAAAACAGCCCTATCTAAAATAAAATGTGAAATAAGGGCAGCCCACACGCCATGAAATCCAGCATCACAAAGTACAGAATATACCAGTAGTTCAGGCTTGCTGCAGAAATTTCAGAGAAAGTCAAAACACCGAAGTGGTGGGTGTTACTGAGTAAGTGGCTGCAAATAGCATGTGGAGTGCTGAACCAGCTCCTTACAGCAGAGCTTCATCTGCAGGTGCAGAAAGAAATTTCTTCATCTGAGTTTATTCAACAAGTTTATTTTGATGCCTGGTTCATTAAGAGATGGGAACTCAACGAGGATTTGGAAAAGGAAGCCAGTTGGATTTTTTCTTTTCATTTTTCCTTTGTGCAAAATCAAGGTGTGGGATGCTTAGCTCTAACTTGTGGGAGGATGAGATCTGGTACTATGAATATCTTGGAAGTGGGGGGAGCTAAAAACAAATTTTCATTTCTCATTTTTAATGATTCCTTTGTGCATTTTAACTGAATCCCATCAAATGTAACTTAACAGAAAGAATCAGTTAAAAGCTCATAGCACCTAATAAAAACTAGTACTCGATGGATTAAAGAACAAAATTAGAAGTTTGAAAAGATATATGTTCACATATCTTAAATCAATGACTCCAGTCCTACTGACTGTCAAAAAGTAACATCATGCCAAGCACATGGAATCTGCTATTTAAGAACGTAATTAAAATTTTTAAATATAAAATAAATTGTGTAAATTAGTATTTCCAGCTTGCCATTTAAAATCATGAATCAAGTATTTATCTCTCTTGTTTAAGCTAACAATAGAAAAAGGAAGTAGTGAAAACAGTATTTTAACTTCTGGCATCAAATTTACATACAAATAACCATCCTCAAGTATATGTCCTTGCTTTTTCAAGAAAGAATTCAGATGTTTATTTTCTTCCAGTAACATGCCAGCATTTCAGAAAAAGCAAATCAATGATGACCTGCCTCATATTTCACATCCTTGTGTTTGTTCCAAGGACTGAACACTGCCACAGCAGTGGATCTCATGACTGCTTTCCATCAGGTGTATTAAACTGATTGTCAGTTAGGTCAGGCTTTCAGGTTGCAAAGATTTCTTCTACTCAGTTCTTTAGAAATATGAGTTAAAAAATTGCAACGTTCATTTTAGTTTAACCCTCCTCATAACTATGTTGAATTTAAGACAGTCCTTCATCATTAATTTCTGCTGCTTTTGTTTGCAGATTTATTTTGATGTGGTTTTTCACTACTAATAAGGAAAGAAATACAATTCTGAAGAAATGATGCCCATGTTGTGTATAGTGAACACTTCTCAGGGGTCATTTTACCCTCTCCCACCACTAATGCCTAGGCACGTCTCTGTTTCCCAGCTGAGAACACTATCAGTTTAAGTAATAGTTTAAGCTTATACAAATAAAGTTTGGAACAAGGTCATTCTGGTTTACCCGGGTCTTAGACAGCACCTTTCTGCCAAAAGCCTGAATCAACACCACCATGAGAATCCATAAGGATTTCCTGCAGCTCCAGAGACTGTTTTACCACAAATCTCTGTTCCAGGTCAGCCTCTCCAGCCATCAGTTCCTGTCAAGCCTGACTCATACCAGAAATCTTTCCCAAAAGTCAGGTCAAAACACTTTGTTTAGGTGTCACCCTTCAGACAACAACTTGGTCTTACATCTACATCTGCTCTCCTTGGCTCAAGCAATCATTGTCCACGCTTCATGCCACAGCTAAAGCCTTTATCTGTGCTCAGTGACCTAGAGGGAATACTGATGGATTTATTAAAGAATGACAGGCAGACACATGGTGAGGTTTGAACATTAGGGTCATTGTGGTTTCATTTATCAGAGAATGGAAGTCAGGCCTAGCTCCTAGTTCTGGCTCCAGGGCTTGCTCTGGTATCTTGGGCAAGAAAATTTAGCACCATGGACTGCCATGCATGTCCATCCTGGCTCTTTGGACTGGTAGGGAAGGATGGAGATTCTTACCTCTGCAGGAGATCATCAACCCAGCAGGACCCTGATCTGAGCTGGAGAAGCTGAGCACTGCTACAACACAAGTCAGTGTAAATATTTTCATCATGCCCTGCATGGAGGCAAGTTCTGAAGAGATGCATTATAGCAACTGCAGCAATTCCTGTACCAGGCTTCTCTCTGTTTGCCATGTTACTGAGTCACTGGTCCATATTTTTCCAGGAAATCACACTTCTTCACACACACACACACTTCCAGTGAAACGTGAGCCCAACAACATTTGAGTAACAGTTAAACTTTTGAACCTGCTCTGTCGGAATGGCCTTGAACTCAGCACAAATGCTTGAGGCCAGACTGTGTACAGCCCAAGTTCAGTCTCAACTTTATTTATAGGTCACACCAGATAGGGAACAAAACAGGTTTTAGTCCTTGTTATGCTCTTATTCAAGCCAGCAAGGAGCTATGAATCGAACAAAAAAATACAATGAATTGCTATCTCCTTTTCCTCAGTTTCTCTCTTCACAAGGAGTTTTCAGAGCATTTTTCTTTATGATACATATCCATGATAATGGTCAACTGTTACCTCTACACACAATATATGAAGAATAACTTAGATTTTACTACTCACAAGTAAACTCAGTCTCTTTTTTATTCAAAAAAGAGATTCCTTAGAGTGAACTACTTATGTATCAATAAAAGCACAGCAAAACCAAGTGCTGGGGGTAGACAGGAACACAGAACTGCTCAGCAAACTGAGATTATTTCCTGGTGACAACTTGGATCTGGAACATAAGCCTTTAAAACACTTAGCCTTTACTGTTTGCTAGATATAAACTGCAAGAAACCCAAGCCTGCAAATGTTACAAAGGACATATAAATGGTTCCTTTTGCCTAACAGGAACTGTTTCTAAGCCTAAAAACTGATACTTCACAATGCTACCATTTAAAATATCTCTTCACAGACTCTAGCTTAGAGGAGCCTTGCAGAACATGTTACAGGGAGCTGTGTGTATCTTACCATCAGCTTTTTGAGTTTGTCAAGAAGTTGAAGTAGGGGAGCAGATAATGTTAATAGTGTGAATCCACCTGGAAGACTCTACTGAACAGAAACTATCTACTAGTGCAATCTGTGATTTGTGTTGTGAAGGAGGAACTGGGGAGAAAGTAAAACAAAATACATCATATTCAAGAAAACTAAGATGCTGAATGTGAAGCTTTGATCCTTTTTAAGGTGACAGAAAAAGTGCCAGGACTTCCTATTCTAATCATGAGATGAATTATTATGATAATATACCCTTGCCAAGGGAAAGATTAATGCAGTAAGGGCCACAGCAAATGGCTGTCAGAGCTGAGAAGTCATTACACCAGAAATGGTCTCAGAAAAGTGAAAGTAATCTAAATTCTTATTGCCCTTCCACTCAATGCAGAGATGGGAGAGATGGCTGCAGGGAGGCTGCATGCCAGGGACAGTAAAACAAATTCAAGAAACCAATGTCACCTATCTTGAGATTTTTTCCCAAAATGTGGTGCATGTTGTCTCAACAAACAGTAGGACAAGGTGTTTGTGCATAGGCAGCACAGAAAGTAGATATTAACAGAATAAAAGATCACCTAGCATTGAAAGGCTTCTCCCTCTTTTCAGACAGCCTGGTGTGTTTAAGGACAGGCAACATGAGATGCAAGCCAACAGAGCTCCCCTCTGCTGTGGCATGACAGCTCCATTTTCATGATGGGATTCCACAGAGTCTTTAACTGCTGCAAGGAAACACTAAACTAGTTTATGCCTTGGTCACTCACCTGCCCTCACCACCGTGGCCATGTTGGACATTTTGCAGCTGCACACAAGGTGATTTCACAGAGCAGCATTGAGCACTTCAAACTGCCAGTGTTTCCCATAATGAAACATACGACTTTTATAAAGTCGGGTCGAATTTGTTGCCAGAATAAAGGAATCCAGGTCATTTGTACCAGCATAAACCAAATCCTTTCTTTTCCAACCTACAGTCTCCTATGTTCCTTACAAGGAAAATCATACACCAAGTATAGGAGACCACAGAAAACTTCCTTTCTTGAGCAGGTAATTGCCACAGAGTGACCTAATGGTGAAAAATACAGAATGATTTTGATTAACAGAATGTAATAGAAATAGAGTTGTTTCATATAACCTTTCAGTCTTCAGTGCTGTAGTTAGGTCCTCTATTAATAGAACTGTCAGAAAGTGTACTCATGCCTGAACTGACATCAGGTACAGAAAGTTGAGTGAGTGAATTTAGTGCTGGCTTAACTGACATTGTGAACAAAGCTCACTTTTTATTCCTGAAAGAGAAATACCATCCACAATAGTGTCACTTCCCATCAACACGCCTGAATTCCAATCTGGGTAACTGTCTCTTAGCATAATAAGTTTACAAAATGCACTTGCACATGATAGCCTCCTATGGATAGATTGTTTTTTAAGATTGAATGAACCTGACTGAAGCAATACAAAATACAAATACAAAATAGATTTAGGAATTAGAGTCAACCTACAAAAGAGAAAGGCTTTCACAAAGACTTTCTTTTTTGGCTAAGGACACCCTTATGAGATGAATTTCAGTAATGGTATCATACACTATGGGATGTCTTCTGTCATCCCAGTTTAATAATTGAAAAGGACACAGATTTAATCAGAACTGCAAGAATATCTGGGAATAGTATTCTGATTAATTGTACTAGCACAGTAATGAAACTCTCAGACTATACTGGAAATTGGAGCACAGGAAATGACGCTACCATTGCTCATTCTCTTTCCTTTTGTTGCACACCAGTTTTGGTGTTCACAACATAAGGCCTTTGTAATAGAAAAAAAAAATTAAAAATTCCTTTTTATAAAGGATTTTAACATTTTGGCAAACTCATACAGGATAAATCTGTTTGTAGTAATTTCTTTCTGCAACAGAGCAGGGACTTTCCTGCTTTCTATCACTGGTAATAATGCTTCACCCAATTAGCCAGAAACTGCATATACTTGAGAACTGAAATGTAAAATTAGGGAATCCAATGAATTACTTAAATCCAAGGAGCAGAGCAACCCATATGTCTTATTTTAGAATTGCCTACACCTATTTATCACACTGTATTTTTCACAGTCAACATGTGAGTCTACAGACAATTTGTACTTTTGTCAGGTTTCTCCTGGCAATTTACTTAGTTACTCGGGATAAACTATCTCAATTTTTAGCTCTTTCCCTCTGCAGTGACTGTCCTCAGACTTGCAGTCATCCTTGAAAAGCCCTTTTTCTGAAGGTTTTTGCTGGATATCCAAATCCAAGCCTAGGTTATCCTTCAGGGATACACTGATGCAGGAAAACCCCTTCACCTCAGGAGTTTAAGGGCTGATTTAGGCCTTTTACTTCTCTTTTTATCCCCTAAGCACATCCTCAGTGCAGTGGCACAGTGCTCCAAAGCATCCCCATCACACACACAGACAAAAATGTACATTCTGTAGCAATCCTGTGTGACCAACTTTGACCTGGCAGTTGTTAACTATTTTAACCTGTTCTATTTATCTACTCTTTTTAGCTGCTCCTCGAAACCTCCCGTATTTAGTGGGTTGGAAGATGGCAGCAGCCTGAGGGCCAGCAGGGCTCTGAGCACAGGCGCTGTTGTTTCTTCCTCCCTGTATGTGACAGTCCTGTGCAGCTGGTGCTAAGGGCAGATGTGCTTCAGGGGCTACTGAACCTCAGCAGAATCTCATTCCACTCCCTACCATGGCCAGGGACACCCTCCACTATCCCAGTCCGCTCCAAACCTTGGCCTTGGACACTTCCAGGGATCCAGGGGGAGCCACAGCTTCTCCGGGCAACTTGTGGCAGGGCATGACCACCCTCAAAAGGAAGCATTCCTTCCTAATAATGTCCTTCATGAGGGCCTTTGCAGATCCCAGAATCGTTAGGGTTGGAAGGGCTCTCTGGAGATCACCCAGTCTAACCCCGTGCCAAGGCAGGGTCACCAGGAGCAGGTGACACAGAAAGGTCTAGGTGAGTTTGGCATTTCTCCAGAGAGGAGGACTCCACATCCGCCCTGGATACCCAGTGCTCTACCACACTCACGTACAGTTCTTCCACAAGTTGAGATGGAACTTGCTGTGATTTAGTTTATGTTCCTAAACGTCCTTCGTGAGGAGATTCCCCTCATGAAGCGCTCTCCCTTCCTCCTCGCTAACTCAGGCTTGACTCGGGGAGGGGAGGCAGGGACCTTCCCAACATGGCGGCCAAGCACGGCTCCCCGCCCTCAGCCGCTCTCAAGATGGCGGCGCGGAAGGGCCGGCGGCCGCCCCGGGTGCGCCTGCGCGGGCCCGAGTGCGGTGAAATTCCTGGCGGGGGGAGCGGGAGGTGGCGGCGCTGAGGGCTCGGAGCAGGAGGCGGAGGGCGGCTCGGAGCCACGGCCGCGCTGCCCTGCCCGGGACCCTGCGTGCTGTGGCGGCCGGCGCCGAGCCAGACCCCCGGCGGGCGCGGAGCGGACGGGCTGAGGGACGCTCGCCGCCACCTCTCGCAGCGCCAGGAGCCGCGCCGTCCCCGCCGCCGCTGGGACTCCCTCCCCGGGCAGAGCGGGGGAGAATGACGGAGCTCCAGTCCGCCTTGCTACTGCGGAGACAACTAGCAGGTATCTGGGCCGGCGGCGGAGGAAGGAAGGGAGGGCGGCGGGTGATCCGCCGCGGGGGAGCAGCGGCCGGGCGGCCTCGGAGGGGCCGCGGCCCGCAGCGGGGGAAGGAAGGGGCGCCGGCTCGGGGAGGGGGCGGGCGTGCGTGTGTATGTGAGGGGGAAGGGGAGATTATGGCCCCCCCTCGCCGTGCTGTGCCCAGCCGGGAGCCGAGGGAACTAGGCCGAGCGGGGGAGGGGGAGCCCGGCCGGCGATTGCTGCCAGGGGAGCCGGGGGAGGGGAACGGGACCGGCACGGTGGGGGAGCGTCCCCTCGGCTGCCCCCGTCCCGCCGGGGGAGTGCGGGGTGGCACCGGCCACGCTCGTCGGCCCCCCAGCCCCAAGCCCGGAGGACTCCTCGTTCCCTTCCCTTGCGGTCCCGTCTCCCTGGGGCGGGGGGGAAACCAAGCCGGAGCTCGTCCCGCAGCGCGGGGGATTTGTGCGGGCTGATGTTGGGGGGTGTTTCTGA